ATTCAAAATATGACCCAAATCTTCCTTCTCTATCTGGGTGTATTTATGCTCTGTATTAGCCAAAGTCCTGGATGTATATACTATTGGGCGTTCCTTGCCATTAGGCCACCTATGAGCTAATACTGCCCGATGCAATACGGGGAGGCACCGCATGTCAATACCAGGTCTTGCTTTGGATCGCAGTGTGCCAACACCTTAGAGGATGATAGCTGTTTCTTCATTTCCACAGTAATTCACCAGTCCAAGGAATGACCCAAGCTCTGGTACAGAAATGGGAGCCAGGGCACCTTTGATCGACCTCACATTATCTTCCAACGGGTGTAACCCAGTCTTGTCAACTTGGTGGCCCAAGTAGGTCACTTTGGACTCTGGAACACACATTTTTCCATGCTAAGGTGTACACACACTTGGGAGAAACAACGAAGGACTATATCCAAGTTCTAAGTGCTCCTTATTGATCTCCCCTATTATTAGTATGTCATGTAGATAAATGGTGACCTGGGGTAGACCTTGTAAAGTGTTCTCCATCATCCACTGAAAAATTGCACAGGCTGACGATACCCCAAATGGCAGTATTGTATATTAGTACAAAGCCTTATGGGTATTAATTGTAGCGTATTTCTGGGAATCCACATCTAATCCGCAATTGCATGTCGCATGGCTCATGTTCAGCTTCGTGAAGGACAGCCTGCCCTGCCAACTTTGCGTACAAATCCTATGTGAAGGATTGGGTATTTATCCAGCTGTGAAAATGGCTTTGCTGTTTGTTTAAACTCCCCACAATGGTGAACGAGCCCATCAGGCTTCACAATCAGTATGACCGGTGCTGTCCATTCCACAAACTGGACTGGTTTGCTGATTCTTTCACTTTCCAGCTTCCTGATTTCTGCCTCTCCTTTTGCACGCAAGGCAAATGACACTAGGTGGACCTAGCAGAACTATGGGATTGCTTCCTGGTCAACATGCAAGGTGACTTTGGCTGCTTTGATGGTCCCTAGTCCATCCAGAAAAACAGCCGAGTATTTAATTAGGACTTCACTCATGCAGCCATTTTCTAATCGAAAAATGTTGAGCCAGGTTAAGTGATTCTGTCTCAAATAATGTCACCCCATCAAGCTTGGGCCTGAGCCTTTTACTGCAATCAATGATACCTGAACCAGCTGCTTCTGATAAGAGACCAGACGGAAGTTGTGCCCTTAATCTGTAACTGTTCCTCGGTATTGGTCCTCAGAGTGACTTTTGTTAAAAACTGGCTCTGTAATCACTGATACAGCCATGTCAGTATCGATCTCCATTAGAACTGGTTCACTATTTAACCAGATGTTTATTTTGATTGGTTGTAATTTGGATGTTGCTAAGCAATTTAACTGATCCAAAGCAAATGTAGGTGGACTTTTCAGGGTGTGTTCTCTCCTGGTTACCAGCCCATGAGTTCTCTTACTCAATTCAGGCCTAGTGGCACTCTTTTGCTGGCTTGAGTCCATATACCGGCAGCAGCTACAATGGCTCGCCAGCCCGAATCCTGAAGAAAATTTTAACCGTTTGGCCAAGGCTTGGCTTTGTTTTGGGGTTTTGCTGTGGGCTGACCGAGGGTCTTTCTGTTCAGAATATGCCCCGAGTGAGGCTATGCAATTGCCTTCAGCCAAGTGGTGTTCCCCAAGCTCAGTCAGCCTGGCGAGGGTGTCCACTTCCATTGGAATACCCTGCAACTCATTGCTCCACTTGCTGCATTTTCCAACGATAAAGCCGGTTGTGGTGCCTGTTTGAAGTCCAGTTCAGCTTCAACTACTAGGCTCTTTTGCATGTTTCATCGTTAATCTCACGTACCAAATAAACAGTTTCTCAGCATCTTAAGGGCTAAACCAAAGTCACATACTTCTGCAAGACATCTTAACCTAGTAAGAAATCCCAATACAGATTCCCCTGATTCTCGAACTGCAGAGTAAAACCAATAGCATCTCAGAATTAGAGGAGGCTTGGGGTAGTAATATTCCTTAACTAATTCTGTGAACTCTTGAATGATTTTAATATTTGATGCCTCAGGGAAACTGAGGCTCCTAATAACTGAAAGAACTGCTGGTCCACAAGCTGTTAGGAGAATTCCCTGCGGCATTTCATCTGCCCCAATGTCATTTGCCTCGAACAAATAATGCACTATTTCCACATATTGGGCCCAGTCTTTAATGGCAGGATCGAACAAGCCAAGCTTCCCAAATAACAGCATGATGCCAGAAATGCTTACCCCAACTCAAAGATGACTGTTGTGGGTGAATTTCTTCAGGAGGGTGCTTCTCTTTTGTCGTCATTGAAATAACTCCACAGAGGCCGGTATCCTGTCACTTGGAAAGTCCTTGACACTGATCCAGCTCCCTCAGAGCCAGCTCTCAGAATGAACAGAACCTCTGACACTCCTGTTTATATCCTTCAGCCAGGGCTCCCTGATTGGACAAGATTAACAGCCCCAATCAGGGAACTCCTATTCTATGATGTCCAACTGGCTGATCCCATTACAATCACTACAATTATCCCTCATGTTTTGTTGACAGCTAGAATGTTAAGGGTGTGTGAAAAGACAGGTTCACCTGCAGATCCAATTACGAGACACCACATTCAATATTAACTTACTTATCGCAATAAAAATTAAAAATATTAAAATACCTATTGCTTTGTTTCCTGCAGCCTTTCTGCTCACTGCTGACAGACTCCAGGGCTGAACTTTCACCGTCACATGGGGACTGGCATGAAGGTGGGAGAGAGTAACCAGTAGCTTGAAGACAGCTCATTGCCTGGGGGTAGAATTCCAGCAACAAACGATGCCAATGTTCCATGTCTTTTTTGAGGCCTACTTCCAATGGTTTTGTTCTCGGTGCTGTGGTCACAGACTGCCCTCTGACAGGGTTCTCCCTTCACTATGGTGACCAGGCAACTGTGATAATTTTATTTTAGAAGTTACGAAAGTTGCTGAGAGTGTACCGCAACATGCATGGAGCCACTCTTTCTTTCTCTGTCTTATCTGAGATGCAAGACTGAAGATCTTTCCCTGCTGGCCCTCCAGCTTCACATTAGCTGCTCTGGGCAAAACATGGGAAATCGCTGCAAGATCATTGTTCTGATCAGGACCCTCTTTTAACCTTGATGTCAATGTCTCAATCCTTGAAAAATCCTGCCCCAGGAATCTATCAGAGCAGCTACACCTCACATTCCACCATAAACTGCCAAATGTCAGGTTAGCCATCCAGTCTCTACAGAATCCCCAGTTCCTCTGTCACAGTAATATAAAACTAAAGGAGTCATGGTGTAAAACAACTCCAGGAGCTTCACTGCAGAATTATCAAACTTCTGTTTACCCAAGCAATTTCGCTAAACCCTGGTGCACTCCCTAATGTATCAGAAGCTCATGTTAATCTAGCAGATTGCTGTCAAGTGCCACTTTGTACCATTCTCCATGCCAGTATAAATGATCATCTCATACTCTTTTGAATGCTTGATAGAAGCTCTCTTCAACACACTTCCAGGTAGTGGGAAAACATAGAGATTATTGGGCATTTTATAGCATAGAAAGAGACTCTTTGGCCCATCGCATCCATGACAGTCACAAAGCACCTATCACTCTTGTCCCTTTATCATCTATCTCTAAATGATATTCTTAACATGCCATCTTTTTGTGCATTCTCAGCTTTCAAATGGCAAGAAAAAAGGCACAGAGCTGAAAGAGTACCGTAAGATAAAGGCAACTCATTTCAGTTTTTACAGATTAATAGATTGAATAATAGAATGAAAGCCAATGGTTAAAACTGTAGACAAAAAAAAAGAGCTGTGGGTGCTGGAAATCAGGAACAAAACATAGTACACGTTGAGGTAGAGACAGGAATCATCACAACATTTAAGAAGCATTTAGATGGTCACTTGGAGCACCACAGCAGAAAAGGTAAGGGGCCAAGTGCTAGATAAAGGGATGAGAGTTGATAGGTGCTTTGTGACTGTCATGGACATGATGGGCTGAAGAGTCTCCTTCCATGTTATATGGAAGTATGTTGGAGAGAAGTTCAATAAAGGCATTCAAAAGAGTATGAGATGATTATTTAAATGAAAATGACATGCAGTATTAAGGGGAAAGGTCAAGGAGAATAGCTTACGTTTATGATATTCATTTGGAGACAGACATGAAGTCTTCAGTGGCCTTCAGTATCATAACAGTACTATGATTCCTTGTGATAAAATCATCAATTTTGGTGCAGCACAGTGACTCAGTGGATAGCACTGCTGCCTTACAACGCCAGGGACCCAGGTTCAATTCTCAGCTTTGGGTGACTATCTATGTGGAGTTAGCACATTCTTCTCGCGTCTGTGCGGGTTTCCTCCGGGTGCTCCGGTTTCCTCCCCCAGTAAGGTGAATTGGCCATGCTAAATTGCGCAGGGTAAGTGGAGTAGCCATGAAAAATGCAGGGTTGGGGTTTGCAGGGAACGTGTCTGAATGCGAGGGTTAATACAGACTCGATGGGCCGAATAGCCTACTTCTGCACTGTCGGGGTTCTATAAAAATTCTGATCAACATGAGCAATTGCACAGAAGGTCATAGAAATATGTTTTTTGGTGGAAGGATTTGTGTGCGCGTGTGTGTGTGGCGGAAAGAGGGAGAGTGTTAAGGTACTGATGAAGCACTCGATGTTTAAATGTGCAGATGCAAGTATTATGTATGGCACCTTCCAGGATCTCAACTAGATTCTACATCCCTCACTTCATGATACCTCAGCTTAAATACGGAAATCAATGAACTTGGGGCATGTTTTGAGCTAGGACCAGAAGAGCCAAGTTGAGTTAAATAATTCACATTGCATTTATATTCTATACTGTGTGGGTAAACAAGACAGGTCCAATACATTTCATATTGTTGTGGTACACGTGCACTGTGTGTGAGCTCTTTCGACTTCAGTTGTTGGAATCAGCGATTCTAGAGTGGAACCACCCACTGACGTGGATCATGTAGTTTAGTCAAAATCAGAAAGACATGAGCTTGTTCGATTCTGCGAGTTTGAGAGGTGAAGATATTTTGTAAATTCACCGCAAGAATCAGAGAGTAACAGCAGGGGCAGGATTACCATTCAGGACAGATTTACAGTTTTACTGAGTATTGTCTGGCAGTTAATGGGAAGGTCCCGGTAAGTGCGTTGCAAATATTTTGGATTTAAAAACAAGAAACTTTGAAAAGCATTGGGAGGTATAGTCTCCGGTGTAATAATGTTCAGACTTCCTGCTGTGGGCCTCAGCTAACGCTTTGTAATGGGGGGGGGGGAGTTTTCAGAAAATACCACAGAGCAGCTTTTAAGCTGCACGGTTTTTCATTTGTAATTGAGATGTAAAGCCATAAAGGATGGTTATTCAGTGACATTTCTCCCTTAATAAATATCATTCTGGGTTTTAAAAATAACCGAGATTTATACTTTAGGGAGAATGATACAGGATTCTAGTTACGTCCTTTTTTACAAAATTCATCGCACTATTATTAGAGATATTCCCTTGCAATAGGGGGATAAAGTTACTCCTGCAATCTGAATCTGCCATGTTAAATAGGTCAGTTTGATCAACGACCAGAATTCAGGGTTTTTTTTTATCGTTTCCAACTGCCCTGTTAATCTGTTCAGTGACACTGTCCCTGGAACGCTAACATCGTCCAAAAGACTAACCAAGAATAAACTTTTTTTAAAAAAAAGAACCCTGTTCAGAGATGTTAGGACACGGGTGGGACCTGAACCCGGGACCTCCTGGCTCAGGGGGAGGATGGGGGGGGGGGGGGGGGCAAACGGACCCGAAACGTTACCTCTGATTTCTCTTCACAGGTGCTGCCAGACCTGCTGAGCTTTTCCAGCAATCTCTATTTTTGCTCCAGGCTCAGAGGTAGGGACACTACCACTTCGCTGGAAGAGCCCTAAATTGACCCCACTCACTAAATTGGAAGAGGTGATCCGCTGGACAGGTTAGTGTGATTGGACAGATCCTCCTGCTTTCACTGAAACCTGGGGAGTAAATAACAGCTCGCCCTTTCTCACTGGTGTCGGGGAGCAGGGGTTTTAGAGTGTAAACTTACACTGTATGTTAAATTACACAGTACAGAAACCATTTGTGGACTTGTATCAGTGTATTTAGCTTCACGTATTGTTAGGATAGAAACTGGGAGCGTGACATTTCTGCTTCTCCAAGGTGACAGATAATGAGCGGCACTATTTGTTTAGCAACTGGTCAGGTTGCTGTTTCCAATGAATTAGTGATTTGTGGAATTTGTGTTTTAAAGGCTAGATTGCTCGGTAGTTTATATAACCATCATGTTTTGGCTAGGGTACAGCTCGGAAACAGCTGGGAGCAGCTTGCACAGCGCAGTTGGGATTGTTCATTGCAGTAGCTGCCTTTTCAATGGCCGACAGCCCTTTCATTGAGGAAACCCGGCCTTACGGCTATAAGGAGGGTCTGGAATGGGGATATGAGGAAGGTGAGATCCTGAACAACTTTGTTTTAAAGTGTGCAAATGGAAACATGATATTTTGTCACCATTGCCATGCATTTCCTTCATTAAAGAAACCATATAGCCGTTCAGAGGAAGGGTCACCGGACCCGAAACGTTAACTCTGTTTTCTCCATCATAGATGCTGCCAGACCTGCTGAGCTTTTCCAGCAACTTTGTTTTTGTTGCATATAAAATTAAACTTTGCATTTTAAAACTTTTTGTTCTAATGTTTGTTTCTATGGTGAGGGATCTAACACAAACAGATATGCCTTGATACTTAAAAATCAATTCTGTTTTGGCAGTCAGCCCCCGCACGGGTACATTGTGAACTTACTTTGCAAAGTTTGGCTTATTCAGACCTTTTAAAGTCCCCCCAGTCCAAAACTGAGATGCTCAACTGATATAAGAAAATTGCATATTTGATAAAATGATAACTTGTAAGCTGTCAAACTCTTATTCTCAGAGTTAAAATTAACTTTCAACTTTAGCCTAGGAAAAACTTCTATTTGGTTTTTGAATCTAGCTTTAATTTTGTCATTTTTGAAATCCTTTTAAAAGTATGAATGCAGGTATGTATGGTGCTCACTTGATCAATGTGATTTGCTCTGTTTTAGGAGTGGAATGGGGCCTGTTGTTTCCTGAAGCAAATGGAGAGTATCAGTCCCCCATAAACCTGAACTCCAGGGAGGCAAAGTATGACCCTTCGCTATTGGAAGTACGTTTATCACCAAATTATGTTGTTTGTCGAGATTCTGAAGTAATTAATGATGGTCACACTATTCAGATACTGCTGAAGTCCAAATCAGGTATGTGAAAATATGAACCAAGTTTGGGTTGTGCAACAGATTATGAAATGTTTATTTTTGAATTTGTGCATTTCCTTCGATGCATCATTTTGTTCTTCTTCCCATAAGGTGTGATAGGAAAGCTGCCTATGCAGACGGGTTTAATCCATTCTGTTTTATTGTGCTATCATTCAGCAGACTCCTCAGCAGGTTAATATTGTGTAAGACACAGCATAAACAGGACTGTATAAAAACTGGAAGAACTGCTGATGCTGTAAATCCGAAACAAAAAGAGAAATTGCTGGAAAAGCTATGTTCTATGTTCTAAGCTCAGCAGGTCTGGCAGCATCTGCGGAGAGAAATCAGAATTAATTTCAGGCCCGGTGACCCTTGCTCTGATTTCTCTCCACAGATGCTGCCAGACCTGCTGAGCTTTTTCAGCGATTTCTCTTTTTGTTTCTGATTTAGAGCATCAGCAGTTCTTTCAGTTTTTAGTGTTTAGAGGACGTTCTTTTCCTTAATCTCATTCAGTGGAATTTCACTCATTTGGATGAAACAGTATGTTTAGTTTAGTATGTTTTCCAGAGAGACTGATTGGATTTATATCTAAATCCAGTTTTTATACCAGAATTGATCATGGCACTGGTTTAAATTTTACCCCAATGCTGTCCCACTGGAAGATGACACTGACTTAACACAATATAGAAAATTTCCCGTTATCAAATGAATATTCATTTTCAGAAGTGATTTGATTATGAAGTGGTCATGAGCTCTTTCAAGATTCAGGCTTGTATTGAGCATTTTGTGGCTTGTAAGTATATATTAAAGAATATTGAACTACACAACACAGAAAACCGTGCTTGATAAATTGTAAGCTCCTGAATGGAAATTAAAAATAAGTCTATGATCTTTGGCTGTTGATGTTCAAGACATTGAAGTAGGAGCAGGAGTAGGCCAGTTGGCTCTTCAAGCCTGCTCCATCATTCAAGAAATCATGACTGATCATCCAACTCCATTCCCTGTCCCTGCTTTTCCCTCACACCATTTGATTCCTTTAGCCTTAAGAACTATTTCTAATTCATTGCCCATGAAAACATTTCAATGTTTTGGGTTCAGCTCCTTTCTGTGGCGGAGAGTTCCACTGGTTCACTGCTCTCTAGGTGAAGACATTTCTCATAAAGACAATAATGGTTCAGATGTTTATTAAAGTTCTGTTCATTGACTTTGTTATGTCTTTAACATAAACACTTCAGAATTGATTGGGGTAGTTTTACAAACTAGCTGCAAGGCAGGCACCTCATTCACTTGGAGCACAGATCAGAGGCCAGTCCACTTACACCATAAAGAATAGAAGTAGGCTATTTGGCCCCTTGATCCCGCTCCCCCATTCAATGGAATCACGGCAGATCCAAGATTCCTCACGTCCCCATCTAGTTCTGTGTCTTTGGAGAATAGGAAATTGTACATAAATGAGGTGAGATTAGGTACTACTGAGATGTATATGTAGGCAAATAAGTCTCCTGCTGCTCACTAGTGAGATTCAAACTTGTGGAAAATTAGACTTCTTTCCTTGATGTTGAAAATCATCGTTTTCAGAACTTTTCATATTCGCCCAAATGTCTTACCATTGCCCACATCGTTCAGGGGCTGGGAAAATTCAGTCTGAGGAAACTATGATGATTCCCAAAGCCAAACCCCATCCCCAACTTTGTTTTGGGTCCACAGGCTAATCTCATTTTGAATGTTTGCAGTAAAAGAAGGTTTCTTATTCTTTACTCATTAACAAGATGATGACATCACTGGCTACGCAGCATTTATTGTCCATCCCTAATTGCCCAGAGGGCAGTTCAGAGCCAACCACATTGCTGTGCTGTAGGCCAGACCAGGTAAGTTGGCAGTTTCCTTCCCTAAAGGACATTAGTGAACCAGATGGGTTTTTCCGACAATCGACAATGGATTCATGGTCATCATTAGACTCTTAATCCCAGATATTTTATTGAATTGCCATGATGGGATTCAAACCTGGGTCTCCAAAATGTTATCCAAATCTTGGGATTAACAGTCCAGCAATAATACCACTAGGCCATTACCTCCTCAAGGTTGACAACGGTCAAAAAAAGTATCTCTAAACAATTAGCCTGATTCAATCCATTGAGTTTATATTTGTGCTCCAAAGGTCTCTCTAATGCATCCAACTGAAATTTCTAATCCATATGTATCACATCTAATCTCGTTCCTGTATTTATTTAAAACTCCTATTCAAATTGTTTTAAGACCACGTACTGGAGCAAGAGTAGACCACACAGCCTGTGCTTCTGTGTTCTTTCTAATAAATCTATAGCCCCATATTCTCAATTCCCTAACCAGGGGAAACAATCTCGCTCTCCCTTGATGTCTACATTCTTTCAAAGTCAAGATTCCCAGCTGTCTAAATCTGTAACTTTTTTAACATAATGTTAATTTTGTGACTGTCCACTGAACCTTTTCTGGGGATCACTAAATAATAACTTTTAATGTGAGGAAACGGAGTCTGGACACACTATTGTAAATAAGGCTGAATTAACAGCTTTGTTGCTTTTGGATTTGCTTCGCAGTACATCAGAATATGCATTTGGGATTAATTTCATGATACTAGTAAACCGTCAACAATTTATGTACAACCTAAACTGTCTTGTTCAATAGCCTTGAACACACATTGTTGGTGCTAGCCCAAACCACACAGATAAAACTAGTTATTAAATGACACTTGCAGAAACCAGATGGCTCCCCTCAATCACATCAGTGTACATCTGAGGAGGTGATGGCCTAGTGGTATTACTGCTGGACTGTTAATCCAGAGACCCAGGTAATGTTCTGGGAGCCTGGGTTTGAACCCCACTGTGGCAGATGGGAATTCAAATTTTAAAAAAAATCTGTAATTAAGAGTATACTGATTACGATGAATCCATTGTTGATTGTTGAGAAAAACCCATCTGGTTCACTGATGTCGTTTAGGCAAGGAAACTGCCATCCTTGCCTGGTCTGGCCTACATGTGACTCCAGACCTCCAGCAATGTGGTTGACTCTTAACTGCCCTCTGGGCAATTAGAGATGGGCAATAAATGCTAGCTTAGCCAGTGATGCCCTCATCCTGTGAGAATAATAATAAAAGAAATCTCTTTTTCTCATTGAAGATCGAAAACCCTCTTTCAAATCAGTATATCTTCTAAATCCACTTCCCATATGTGTCCTTGCTGATTAATGGGTGAACAGCAATAACTTTAGCACCAATTCTCCATGACAGAAAATGGTTCTTGTGTAGAACCTCTAGCATTATGACAATCTTTTATCTGAGGGCGTAAAAATTCCCTCTCTCTGCTAAGGTCACAGGACAGAGTCTCATTAACTCTTCCATGCCTTTACAACTTGTCAGGTTGTTCCATTATACAGTTGACTAATTGTTTTTGTAGAGTGATCATTGCTGCTTGAGAGGAAAAATGGCAATTTATGTATGACGAGGTCTTACAAATATCATTAAAATAGACCAATTTGCACTTTGTGGTACTGTTATTGATAAACTGTCATTGGCTGGGACACTCACCCCTACTTTTCTTTGAGTAATAGCTTATTTGTTTGTTCAACTAAGCTGAGGACTGTTTGATAATTCACTTGGAGTTTGGGTTCTGGATAGCATCTATAACTAATCAGAAGATTAATTGTGCAGTTGGACATTTAAGAAATTACTAATTTCCATGTGATATAAAAATAAATTACTTATCTAGATTGCATTATTATGTAGAAATTCTCTTTTTGTGTCTGAAGGAGGAAGCAAATGTATTCATATAGGGCACAATAAACCAGAAGAGAATTTGTTCTGACTTTTCTGAAGTTCTAGGTACTTAATGAGAACAGTGCTGTGTAATTTGCAGATTTAGAATCCCCACAACAACCTGGTCTACCTCTGTCACCTTTCTGATTTTATATCACTTCATTAAGGCACTATTTTTAACTTGAATAGGATGAGTCTATTAGCCTACTTTCTGGACTATTTTATGACCTGGAAAAGATAAGTTTTACTTTAAGGTGTATAAATTCAGCTCAGATTAATGACCCTGAAGAATTTCATTCTATGTTGACTGCAGATGAAAATATTTTTGGTGCAAAATTTTCTGTGGACAACTGAAGTTTTACATTGAGTGTATAGAATTTTTTTGATTGTTTACAGTTTTAACTGGTGGCCCGCTGCTTGGAAATCATGAATATGAATTACATGAAGTTCGATTTCACTGGGGCAAAGAGAACCAGCGTGGCTCTGAACATACTGTTAATTTTAAAGCTTTTCCAATGGAGGTAAGTATCAGACCAAAACAGACATTTGTGAATTGTACAGATTTGTAGTGGAATGCATGAAGTTTAAGACACCTCTTTTGGAAATTGTAAAACAAAACAAAGAACTGCAGATGCTGGATGTCTGAAAAAAAAACCCAGAAATTGTCAGAGAAACTTCACTGGCCTGGCAGCATCTGTGAAGAGAAAGCAGAGTCAACATTTCAAGTCCAGTGACCCTTCCTCAAAACTGAAAGTTAACTCTGCCTTCTCTCCATGGATGCTGTCAGACCTGCTGAGTTTCTCCAGCAATTTATGTTTTGGTCAAAAAAAAATAGGAACAGCAGGAGGCCATTCGGCCCTTTGAGCCTACTCCGCCATTCTTCATGACCATGGTGGATCACCCAACCCAATAGCCTAATCCTGCTTTCTCCCCATAACCTTTGATCCCATTCACGCCAAGTGCTATATCTAGCCGCCTCTTGAATACATTCAGTGTTTTAACATCCACTACTTCCTGTGGTAATGAATTCCACAGACTCATCACTCTTTAGGTGAAGAAATGTCTCCTCATCTCCGTCCTAAATTATCTACCCTGAATCCTCATACTGTGACACCTGGTCCTGGACATACCTACCATTGGGAACATCCTCCCTGCATCTACCTTGTCCAGTCCTGTTAGAATTCTGTAAGTCTCTGTGAGATCCCCCCCTCATTCAACTGAACTCTGGTGAAAATAATCCCAACCTAGTCAATCTCTCCATGTACATCAGTTCTGCCATCCCCGGTATCAGCCTGATAAACCTTCGCTGCACTCCCTTGAGAACAAGCACATCCCTCCTCAGAAAAGGAGACAAAAACTGTACAAAATATTCCAGGTGTGACCTCACCAAGGCCCTGTACAACTGCAACACGTTCCTGCTCCTGCACTTAAACTCTCGCAGTGAAGGCCAACATACCATTTGCCTTCTTTACCTGCTGCACCTGCATGCTTACCTTCAGTGACTGGAGGAGTATCCAATCGAAAGAAGTTTCTTAATGCATTGTGGGGAGTCAATAATTTATATTATTTCTGGTTTTTCAGAGAAGTGCTGGCATTTCTCAACTATTGTTGAGAAATTAGGCACTGAATCCTGTAAAGCTTAGCTGTAACTTTTTTTTGAGTTGCTTTTTCCCTTTTCCACTCTATCCCCTCCCAAATGTTCATAGATTCCTGGCATTAGTTCAATAATTTAGCTGGTTTCTACATCTTGTTGTTATGTCCTCACTTGCTTTTGGATGTGCATTGGTGGTGGGGAAAGGGACGTCACCAAAGCAGTGTGAGGTCTTTATACTTGGTATCCCAACTTGAAGGCCTGGAGATTTAGAATGTGTATTTGAAAATGAAAGTTATTGATAACTAGCAAATAAAGAAAAAAGGTACTGCTGACAGTCCTTGATAGTGCAGCCTTGAATCTCCACTGCGTTTTATCTGGCAACAGTAAAAATGATTTGCTCTGAAGTGGCCCCATGGAGCATTAAAAGGTCACTCTCTTACTCTGTTTTATTTTCAAAGAGTCAGTCACTTAATCGGGCTATCTTCAAATAGGGCCATCTATTCAACAGAACAGTCCCTAAAGTGGGAACTTTTAAATTATAGCTTCATTTAGAACAAAATGGGGACAATGAATGACAGAGCTGGAATATCAGAATCAGGTGACAAGATTCTTGATTTTGCAAACCTCACTGAAATAATAAATAACATATTTTATGAATGGTCATGTCGCTCCAGCCAAATCTATTTAATGCAGGTTCAGGTTTTGGCCGTATTTTACAAACCAGCTCAAGTTGTTGCTTGAAAACATGCGAAGCTATCGGGGTGACTGGGTTATTCAGTATTCCATTCTATATTGGGGATTTACTTGCCTGTAGCAGAAAACGATGCAGTGGGAACGTGTTGACTGAGGAGCAGGTTCACTGAACAGCTAGAGGGTCTGTGGGGAAAATCACTGAAAATAACATCTTATCCTGGCATTGTACTGAATGCAAGTATCTGATGAGTTTGGAAAAAAGGTTGCCCTGTATTATTGTTCTTTTGTATTTTGGCTGAATACTTGGCTGGGAAATGTTTCATGAATGCAGGAAGAATAAGCATTGTCTTCACAAAAATAGAACATTCTTGCAGATTTGAAATAAGAACATAAGAACCAGGAGCAGGAGTATGCCATCTGGCCCTTCGAGCCTGCCCCGCCATTCAATAAGATCATGGCTGATGCTTTAATGGACCCAGCTCCATTTACCCGCCCGCTCGCCATAACCTTTAATTCCTTTACTTTTCAAAAATCTATCTCTCTTTCATTTTGCCCTAAAAACATTCAATGAGGAAGCCTCAACTGCTTCATGGGCAGGGAATTCCATAGATTCACAACCCTTTGAGGGAAGAAATTCCTCCTCAGTTCATTCCTAAAAGCGCTCCCCCTTATTTCGAGCTATACCCCTTAGCTGTAGTTTCACCCGCCAGTGGAAACAACCTCCCTGCTTCTATCTTCTCTATTCCCTTCATATTTTGTGTTTCTCTCAGACGCCTCCTCATTCTTCTAAATTCCAATGAGTATAGTCCCAGTCTACTCAATCTCTCCTCATAAACCCGACCCTGTCAACACCAGAATCACCCTATTGAACATCCTCTGCACCCTCTCCAGTGCCAGTACATCCTTTCTCAAGTAAGGAGACCAAAACTACACGCAGTACTCCAGGTGTGGCCTCACTAGCACCCTATACAGCTGCAGCATAACCTTCCTGCTTTTAAACTCAATCCCTCTAGCAATGAAGGACAATATTCCATTTGCCTTAATTACCCACTGAACCTGCAAACCAAAGTTTTGTGATTCATGCACAAGGACACCCAGGCCCCCCTGCACAACAGCATGCTGTAATTTTTCACCATTTTAAATGATAGTCCATTTTGCTGTTATTCCTGCCAAAATAGATGACCTCACATTTACCAACATTGTACTCCATTTGCCAGACCCTTGGCCACTCACTTAACATATCTATATCCCTCTGCAGACTTTGTGACCTCTGCACACCACTCATCTGTGCTGTACCACTCATCTTAGTGTCATCCAAGAACTTTGATACACTACACTTGGTACCCAACTCCAAATCCATCTATGTAAATTGTAAACAACTGCGGACCAACACTGATCCCTGAGGCACACCACTAACTACTAATCACGAACCAGAAAAGCACTCATTTAACCCCATTCTTTGCTTTCTGTTAGTTAACCAATTCTCGATCCGTGCTAATACGTTGCCTGTAACGCCGTGCACCTTTATCTTATGCAGCAGCCTTTTGTACGGTACCTTGTCAATGCCTTTTGGAAATCCAGATACACCACACCCACCAGTTCCCCGTTTTCCACTGCGCTTGTAATATCCTCAAAGAATTCCAGTAAATAAGTTAAACATGACCTGCCTTTCATGAATCCATGCTGTGTCTGCCTGACGGGACAACATCTAATCCAGATGTCTCGCTGTTTACATAGAACATAGAAAATAGAACAGTACAGCACAGTACAGGCCCTTCGGCCCACGATGTTGTGCCGAACTATTATGCTACTAAGATCAATCTACCCTGCATTTTACTATCCTCCATGTGCCTATCCAAGAGTCGCTTAAAAGTTTCTAAAGTATCTGACTCCACTACCACTGCCGGCAGCGCATTCCACCCGCCCACCACTCTCTGTGTGAAGAACCTACCTCTGACATCTCCCCTATACCTTCCTTCAATCACCTCAAAATTATGCCCCCTCTTAATAGTCATTTCCGCCCTGGAAAAAAGTCTCTGACTATCCACTCTACCTATGCCTCTCATCATCTTGCACACCTCTATCAAGTCACCTCTCATCCTTCTTCGCTCCAATGAAAAAAGCCCTAGCTGCCTCAGCCTTTCCTCATATGACCTTCCTCCAGTACAGGCAGCATCCTGGTAAATCTCCTCTGCACCCTCTCTAAAGCTTCCACATGTTTCCTATAATGAGGTGACCAGAACTGAACACAACATTCCAAGTGTGGTCTAACCAGAGTTCTTTAGAGTTGCAGCATAACCTCACGGCTCTTAAATTCAATTCCCCTGCCAATGAAAGCCAACACAACACCACATGCCTTCTTTACTTGGGTAGCAACTTTGAGGGATCTATGGACGAGGTCCACACTGCCGAGAATCCTGCCATTAACCCTGCATTCTGCATTCAAATTTGACCTTCCAAAATGAATCACTTCACACTTTTCTGGTTTGAATTCCATCTGCCACTTCTTTGCCCAGCTCTGCATCCTGTCAATGTCCCGTTGCAACCTACAACAGCCCTCCACGCTGTCCACAACTTCACCAATCTTCGTGTCATCAGAAAACTTACTAACCCACCCTTCTACTTCCTCATCTAAGTCATTTATAAAGATCACAAAGAGCAGAGGTCCCAGAACAGATCCCTGTGGAACACCACTGGTCACCGAGCTCCAGGCTGAATACTTTCCATCTACTACCACCCTCTGTCTTCTATTGGACAGCCAGTTTTGTATCCAGACAGCCAAATTTCCCTGAATCCCATGCTTTCTTACTTTGAATGAGCCTACCATGTGAAACCTTATCGAATGCCTTGCTAAAATCCATATACACCACATCCACTGCTCAACCTTCATCGATATGTTTTGTCACATCCTCAAAGAATTCAATAAGGCTTGTGAGGCAGGACCTGCCCCTCTCAAAGCCATGCTGACTATATTTCTAATCAAACTGTGCTTTTCCAAATAATCATAAATACTATCTCTCAGAATCCTTTCCAATAATTTGCCCACTACAGAAGTAAGACTGACCGGTCTGTAATTTCCAGGATTATCCCTATTCCCTTTCTTGAACAAGGGAATGACGTTTGCCACCCTCCAATCTTCTTGTACTACTTCTGTGGACAGTGAGGACGCAAAGATCATTGTCAAAGGGGCAGCAATCTCTTCCCTCACTTCCCGTAGGAACCTTGGATGTTTCCCGAATGGCCCGGGGACTTATCTATCCTCACGTTCTTCAAAATTTCTGGCACATCCTCTTTCCTAACATCAACCTGTTCGAGCATATCAGCCTGTTTCGTGTTGTCCTCACAAACATCAAGGTCCCTCTCACTGGTGAATACTGAAACAAAGTATTCATTAAGGACCTCCCCTACCTCCTCTGACTCCACGCACAAAATCCCTCCACTATCCCTGATTGGCCCTACCTTCACTCTGGCCATCCTCTTGTTCTTCACATAAGCATAGAACGCCTTGGGGTTTTCCTTGATCCTACCTGCCAAGGTTTTCTCATACCCCCTTCTAACTCTCCTAAGTCTATCCTTCAGTTCCTTCCTGGCTACCTTGTAGACCTCTAGAGCCCTGTCCGATCCTTGCATCCTCAATCTTAAGTAAACTTCCTTCTTCCTCTTGACTAGATGTTCCACATGTCTTGTCATTCCAAGGTTCCTTCACCTTACCATCCTTTCCTTGCCTCAGCGGGGCAAACCTATCCAGTACCTGTAGCAACTGCTCCCTTAACAACCTCCACCTTCTTCCTTGATTATATATTCAAGCATTTTCCCCACTGCAGAAGTTAAGCTCATGGGCCTACAGTTACCCACTTTTTGTCTGCACCCTTTTTTTTGAATAGTGGTGTCACACTTGCTGTTTTCCAATCTGCTAGAACTGTCCCAGAGCCCACTGAACTTTGGTAGATTAACATGAGTGTGTATTTGTTATTTCCCCTGCCATCTCTTATAGCTCCCTGGGAGGCATTCCATTCAGGCCAGGAGACTTGTCTACCTTTACCCACAGTAGCCTACCCAACACTACCCTAAATAATCCTGAAAGCAGTCAACAAAGTGTTGATTAAATGTAGTTTCAAAAAACTTGTTTACAGTATTGTTTTGGCGGCTGAGGATGAAGAGACCATTTCTTTTAAAAAAAATACAAAAAGATATTCTATTAGTTCTTGTAAATAAATTTAGACATTGAGGGAAAGGCAGGTTTATGTAAGTCAGCGATTAGGCTGCAGTTGGAGAACTGTTTGAAGTTTTGGTACTTCATTAGGGGACATGACATTAAAAGTCATAGAGACTCGAAAATATTGAACAAATTGCTGGAGAAACTCAGCACATCTAGCAGCATCTGTGGAGAGTAAAGAGTTAACATTTCAGGTCCAGTGACCTTTCCACAGAACTGATGATAGCTTGGAAAAGGATGGATTTTGTATAGAAGATGGGATTGAGTAAGAGTAAATGGTAAGTGGAGATAGAGAACAGTTCCATAGACAAAGGAGTGGGTAAAGGTCAGTCTGGGGGAATGAATAACTGCTAATGAGAGCTATTAGTGACTGACAATGGGTTGTGTGTGGTAGCAACCCATGTGATGTACAGGGGTTGGGGTAAGGACATGGCCTCAAGCCACAAAATAGTTGAACTCAACATTAAGTCCAGAAGGTTGCAGGGTTCCCAAGTGGAAAATGAGATGCTGTTCTTCCAGCTTGCACTGACCTTCACTGGAGCACTGCAGCAAGCCTGAGAGAGAGATGTTGGCTGGGGAGCTGGGTGGTGTATTGAAGTGGCAGTCAACTGGAAGCCTAGGGTTTTTTTTTGTGGGCAGAATGTAGATGTTCTGCGAAGCGGTCACCCAGTTTGACACACTGAGCCAGACTGATGATTTTTTTCCTGACAATGAAGTCATGTAGGAGGAGGAATCAAAACCATTGTATCTGGTTCTGTGGTTACTATTAGAAAGGAATTAAACTAGGGGAGCACAGACCCATCCAACTAAGAACACTAGAGAGCTCGTTGTCAACCATGTCAAAGTTAGAGGCAAGACAAGAAAGACAGGGACAGCTATCTTATGTGACTTTGCTGTAGTTCCAAAACAGGTTTCCGTACCTGAAGGATTTGGAGGTATTCAGGCTTGGAGTTCTGTGGAAAAATGGAAATGGATTTGTAAGGTGAACATGCATTCCAGTGTGATACTGCAATAACCCCTAAAATTACAGCCAGCAATTAGGGGTAAACCACTGGGTAACACGTGACAATCTAGTTAGTAACGAAAATTGAAGAATGCATCATGTGAAAAATGTTCTCTGGTTCTTAGATGATGCAGTCATTGTGCGAGCATTTTTGACCACATTAGAAATGATGATTATTGTTTTCAGGGCTCTGTGTGTTCAAGAGCGTGACCAAACCCATGCCATTTCATAAACACACATGCTAAGAAGACTGAACATAGCAAGTCAGAGCTGGTTAATGTGTTTAATATAGTGCATTTGAAAATTGTAGCTGATGTCTCTTGTATTTCCTGACATGGTGGTGGAACTAAATTGCTGTAAGTGGAGTAATGGGGTTGACACTGGATAACCTCGTTGTGCCTTCCCACTGCACTTTTTTACAGACTTCATTTGCTTGATCTTGAATAGTATTTGCTTAAATTTCCTTAAGCATGGGCCTGAATTGTCTTTATTCCAATTCTGAAAACATTTGGGATCTATATCCTGTGAAAGACCTCTTTCTTTCCCCACAAAACCTACATATCTTTTGTGACTAAATTATTTCTTTGTATCTGTTATTTAGAGCTATTACAGATTTTTGCTAATACAGTGAGGTGAACATTAGTGTGTTTGGGAGACTGAAGTCCAACTCTGTTGCCTTCTAGACAGTTGTGATAGAATTAGATTCCATAGATTATTAATTCCAACCCAAAATCTGTCATTTTCAACGTTGGAATAAGTAGATAGTACTTTTATAATGCTTTGTTTAATGCATCGGCTTTCTAGGTTCAAACAGCCAGCCACCTGGTCTCTTTTTATACATGTTTTTACATTTAAAATACTTATTTTCAGCTCCATCTTATCCATTGGAACTCTACTTTGTTCAAAAGTATTGATGAAGCTCTGGGAAAGAAACATGGGATAGCAATCATTGCTTTGTTTGTCCAGGTAAGAATTTGATTATAATCAAGCAAACTATTTGTCCTCGTCTGGAAGGATTGTGAATTGTTAGAAAATAGATTGCCATGCTGTTCTTGTATCTTTTTTGCAGCCCTATACAAAGTGTAATGATTGTGCAGTGTTTTCCAGTTTATTTCAATCTGAAAAATAGAAATGTAAAATTATATGGGATAAGGGGAAACATGGATGAGGAATTAACAAAGGACCACAATTTTAGGAATCTACTGGCAATACACAGGTATTGCACGAATCAGTCCCTTTAATTTAGTGTTTGTATGCACTACGCAAATAATTGAAATAAGTGAACAATTAAACAGTTGGCTCTTAATCTATTAAAAAGACAAGGGGAGGGTATGTGGCTTACAAGGCCAGAATTAGAGGAACACCAATGCCTTGAAAGGTTGTAGGAATGAAAGAATTTGTTTGTAGGTTTGGATGACCAGTGTTAAAACAATTAACATATATTTGTTTACACAGTAGGCCATCAGTTTTAAGTTCACCTACACACCAGTTACTTTTGCATTATAACAGACATCTAATCCGTGGTTCATTCAATATTGTCTGATAGCTTCAATAGGAAAGACTGCACAAAAAATGGCACTATGTAATTAACTCAATTTATATTCAGGGCAAACATGAACCATGCAATGTAAGGTTTTGAATATTTTGCAGAGCTGATTTGAAGCCATTTTTTGGCTATGCAAAATTATTGAAATGTTGGGTTCAGACAATCTGAAGGTGTCCCCACTTTTGGGTAGCTAGTACCTTTTTTTTGTTGTTTTCCCTTTTTAGGTTGTGTCTCATTTCAGACATTTATGAGCTGTGTGTAGAATAGTGAAGTAGTGGGACCTGAAACTTTGAAACATTGAAGATTGGAATAGATAAACACTTAAAGTCAAAGTGGAAATGGCTGACATTTTCAGAAGCAGTCATCAGTGGACCAGAGATCCAATCTCTCCTCTAAGAACCTGCTCGTTCCAGATATCAATCTGGAAAACTTAATTCTGGCTGGGTCAAAATCCTGGAAATTCCCTTCTGTGGTTGTTCTCACACCCCAAGGACAGCAACTATTCAAGAAAGCAGTTCATCGTCAATATCTCCATTGCAGTTCGGGATAGGCAATAAATGCTGGCCTCACCAAAATGCCCTAGTTCTGTGAATGAATTAAAAAGAGGTTCTTTGGCCAGTAGTCTTAGAAATCACTGTAAATGTCAAATAATATTATCTGAGTAACCATCTTTCCTCAGAAGAAATAGACATAAAAGATGCTGAGAGGAGCTGAATTTGATTGGGAATCAGCTCAGTGTCACTTTTGCTAACTTTCACAGAGGGTCAAGATTGCATTTGCCCAGAATTTGTATCGTACACAATTGAGTACTGTTTATGTTTCACAAGGGGGGTACAATGATTTGAACTGACTCCAACGTATACTGTGAAAAATCCCTATTCAGTGTAACTGTCCCTTGTAAGGCTTCACGTCACTCATGAGGAGAGTCTGTGTGCTCAGACAGGAAAGGGTTACTTATTCCACCTGTTCCATTGATAAAGTTCCCAACCCGCTTTTGCTGTTTTCATGCACGACATTGATACTGTGTCAAACCCACAGAGTCATGTGCTCATGGAGCTAGACAGAGTAAGAATGAGAAAAAGGCTTTGTCATCACTGTACCAATATCTGAGTTTTCACATTAACTTAAGAAACATGGGCAGTGGGACAAGCAATAAGAGTTACGAAGGTTTGAAACCATTAACCTATGAGAGCTTTGATGTATATGATGGGAATAAGCAGTAGGTGTGACTAATGATGTGGGTGCATGCAGACAGGAGGTACATTGAAGTTTCTTCTGGTGACTTGTGACTGACTATAGGAATTGAAGAAGGAAAATATTGAATGTGGAAAACTGTAAAGGATGTGAGAGATAAATGAGGTGTCTTGCCTTAATCCATGGTTAGAGACAAAAAAAAATCTGCAGATGCTGGAATCCAAGTAGGCAAACAGCAGGCTGGAAGAACACAGCAGGCCAGGTAGCATCTGGAGGAAAGGAGCAGTCAATGTTGACTGCCTTAATCCATGCTTGGTAAGATTATTACTTTCTGTCCTTCAGCCTGGACCTGGAGACAATGCTGGAAACATCCTATATTGTGCCGTATAACTCTTGTTATACCTGTTTATGAAACTAAAGGTGTGTGCTTACCTTCTTGAGTCACGTGGCTATATGGAATGTTCTGCACCCATGGTTGTCAGTAGTCCAGGGCCAGTTCAGATGTTGCTTAGAATCCTAGTCAGTCCCAATCACCAAATATATTGTGCACTATCCAAAATGCTGTGCCCAAAAAATAATACTCTTTGCCACATCCTGCTTCTCTCATGGTCAGACAATTCTCAGAGGTGATTATATATATTCTGCTGCTCTTCCTCTATTCTCTATATGGTGAGTGGTGTGACTGGTTCAGGAATGATCCTCAGACAGCATCTTCCGAACCCACAACTAGAAGGACAAGAGCAGCAGATACATGGGAACACACCACCTACAAGTTCCCCTCCAAGCCATTCACCATCCTGACTTGGAAATATATTGCCATTCCTTCACTGTCGTTGGTTGTAAATCCTGGAATTCTCTCCCTAAGTGCATTGTGGGTCTGCCTACAGCACATGGACTGTAAGCGATTCAAGAAGGCAGCTCATCTCTACCTTCTCAAGGGCAACTAGGGACAGGCAACAAATGCTGGCCCAGCCAGCAACACCATGTTCCATGACTGAACTAAAAAAATGTGATGCAAGGCGTAATCTCATTGGCAGCATCAATTGTAAAATTATATATGTGGCTCAAAAAAAGCTGGAAACATTTCCATACCTATCAGTCGTAAGTACAAGACAAGCATTTCAAATTTTTAAGAGGAAATGTGTGCCAACTTTCAAAATATATTTAAATTTTATTCAGTGATCTAATGTTCTGCTGCTTTGACAACTCGTTGATAGCACAAGATTCGGGGTCATTGTGTTTCACTATCATTAGCCAAGCCAGTAATTAAATATAAGCCTATCTGTTCTTGCTATATGAGAGGGTTGTTATTTTTTAAATGTTTCTTATTTTTATATGCTGGAAGAGAAAATGACTAAACAAAATAAATATCTCGTTTTCTTTTCCTGCTGCAGATAGGAAAGGAACACTTGGGTCTAAAAGCTGTCACTGAAATCCTTCAGGAAATCCAGTACAAGGTAATCTATAAATCATTTTCCCAAGAAAAGAAAAGACTTCTCTCTTGTAGAGATTCAACATCTTTCAAAGTATAAATAAGACAAAAGATGGTAACATGATAATGGGCTCTGTATACATTGCATGTCTGTATTCAGACATAGAGGAGTAAGCTAGCATTTGGTGTGTAAAAGTAAAACAAAACAATATTGACACTCATTATTTTGGCACCTGGGATTGTAAATACCATTTAGTGATACATGAGGGTCAGTTTGTCTCTGATTTTATTTTTGCTTTATCTTCTTTTTCCTGCAAAATATTGTAACATCAGAGCACTCCAAACTAAGTCAATTTTAGCATCTCTAGTAGTTAAACTTTTAGAATGCGACTTATCTTCAAATATATATGAGGATGACGGGTGAGAAAATACCTTCTGATCCATCCAGACTCTGTCCCACACAACTACAATGTATTTTACATCACCATATATCAACTTCTTACCCAAAAGCTATGTATTGTGTTGGGAAAAATGGATAAACGCACAAATACCGGGTCAATTAGGGGGAGGAACGATTGGATAAATCTTCCAGAAACTGATGCGGAAAGGCTGAAGAATTTAATGTGTATGAAAGAATGAAATGTGCAGTGATAAAGAGCCAATTGAACAATTTACTCCAAGCAAGATCAGTGGGATGCTGGCAGAACTTAAGTTTGCTTGTTTGGAACTGCATTGAAAAGAAGAATTCTGCTGGTTACAGCATAAGCGGCATTGTACATTTAATCATTAAAAAATGTCATAACAAAGCTTCCAGCTTGATCTCCACAAATGTATGTTTTCCAACAGTGTCACTGGGGTAGCAATTAACCTAATTTTCAATCCTTATTCCCCAGCCCCAAGATCAATCATCTTTCTTAGTGGGAGGAGAGATTTGAAGGAAATGAGTGACAGAGAATTATAACAAGTGACATTCCTAATTAGACAGTGATATGGGATTCCAGTTGGGAGGAGTGGAGTAAGTGTGTGTGTCTGCACTCCAGCATTGAAATCGACATTGTCTAGAAATAAAGTGAGGAGGGGAAATTGGTTGGAAAAATTACACTAGTTACCAGAATAAGGCAATTGTACAAAAAATATGTATGAGTTAAAGTTAAATGGATAAAATGATCTATCTCAACAACCAGAATTTACTGAAGAATCTGAGTGGGGAACGTGCTGGATGGGGAGAATTAGTTACAAAGGAGCCAAAATGTCAAAGTTACGGTGGTGGATTCAGAATAAGAAAACTGAACTGGTTGTATGGAAGGTTGGACCTCATGTCGACCTTTGGTTCTGTTGGTGGTTGGGGGGTGGGGGGGTGGTGGGGTTTCCTACTTGTATTATGCTTTCATGTCATGAATATTCATTGTCTTAAAACTTTGTGAAATAAAGCCCAAGCTTTAAGAAGGTCAGTGACACATAGGAACCTCCTGACCCCCAGGTCAGGTTCAAGTGCCATGTCCCAGTCTGGTCTGCACCATTTCTGTTTTAGCTGAGTGACTGTCCTTGTTGAACTTTGTGGACAGGAGCGAGCAGGAGAACGGTGGCCTGGATGGCGAGGTGGGACTGGCAACTGAGAGTCTGTTGGAGCATGGAGAACTGGGCAAAGGAAATTTGAGGGTAGGAGATGGGGTAAGAAGGACTGGAAGAGGGAGGACCGTGGTGGGGTGTGGAGTGTGCAGAAGGAAGGACGTGTGTCGTTGGAGTGATCACAGGGTGGGAGGGTGGGTGTGGCCAATATTAGCAAATGAAAAGAGGAGGCTAAAAGATCAATAATGTCCACATGTGGATTCTGTGCACCAAACACAAGGTTTCTGTTGGCAAAGAGAATGGCTTTGGGCGTAGGAAGGTGTTTGATAGAGAAGCAAGTCCATTGTGAGGTAGAACCTTCAAAGGTTTTGCATGGTCACATGACCAAACAGAAACATTAACAACATTATGAGGAGGGTTCAAGAACAGAAGGTGAACTTTGGGGATAGGCTGCGGAGCAAGGGATGGTACATCCACTCTCATGACAAGATCTTGGGTGGTAGGATTAAAGTCTAAGATGACAAATAGAGGGTGGAGGGTCACGGATTGCAAAGGGAGGGTCACTGGCAGACTGTAATGGACCATTTTCAAAAATTCACTGTTTCCATGAGTGCAGATCCAAGTGGGAGGAAACCACTGTGGGGTGAATGCAGATCTTTTATGGACAGTGAAGGCAGTAGAAAATCTCTTCAGCCAAGTGAATGAAAACCCATGGCCTTTTCCACACCATTCGTTCAGTAGAACATGTATTGTTCCATACATCCAATATTCCCATAACCTTGGGAAGTGGAGCCAAAGATATGGTAAAGGAAGGTAATTGCTAATTAGTATCTGAGGCTGTAAGACTGGCAGCTGGCAGGAAGGACAGTCAGTGGGTAGTAATCCAGAAAAGGCATAGGGAAAGGTCACTGGCAACAGTCAAGTTAAGTGCAGATATAGACAGACAACTTTGAGATGAGGCAGTGCTGGAGGTACCTGAGGGTGTGCTGGAATGTGGTCACCAGAATCTGCCGGATTCTGTAGCAAGGTCTTTAGATGTGTAGATTCAGCCCCAACTGTAAAGATTCAATGAGGGGAGAAGTTTGAGGGGATTGAAAAGAATAAAGAGATGCACAAAAAAATGGTTTGGACTCCTGATTAGAAAGGTGGTGGTGAGGAAGGCTGAGGCCTTGATACAGAGCTGGCCTGCTTGTCTACTTGGCTCTTTTCATAGCCCACGTTACTTTACTGAGCTGTTGCCTAATGCCAGGTCTGCCAATGAAAGACTGCCCCTCCAAGTGTCGGCTGCCAGTCCTTCTTAACTTTCATGTGATTTGGGAGGGATCTGGCTTCTGTCACAAAAGCAGAAAGGAAACTCTTTCTCTTCTCGTTCTGCTATCCGGAGCAGGTTGTCACTGCTAAAATTCTATATAGTGTCTAGTGCAGTGGGCAAAATGCATACAAGCTCATTTGGATTAACTTACAGATATTGTCTGTGAATCAGGGCAAATGACTGACTTAGTTGGCTTGAGCAGAATCGGTCTTAGTTGACATGATGTTAGACCATCATGACTGGAACTAGGTACTTTGTAAACCTAAATTTGTAAAACCTAATTCTAATTTTGTTCTTCTGTTATAGATATTTTCATTTTTCTTTTTTTTTTTGCCTAGGGAAAATTGAAAACCATACCATGTTTCAATCCTAATACCTTACTTCCTGGTAAGTATTTTTTGCTTGATCATATTCTCTGTCTTGTTAGGCTAACACAGCAGGACACTTGTAAACTCATTTTAAATGTTACTGATTTTGACCATGTTTAGATCCACTCCTTCGAGATTACTGGGTATATGAAGGGTCTCTGACCATTCCACCGTGCTGTGAGAATGTGACTTGGATATTATTCCGATACCCTCTAACAATCTCTCAGTTGCAGGTATGTAATGAACTTCATCAAGCTTCCCACTGTATGTGGGAAACTTGGAAAATCTCTCCCTTTGTTTTTTTTTAAGTAAAGCCCTTGAAACCATACAGGCCATAGAATCCCAAGCAAAGGTCAAAGATGAAATGATGGTTATCTTTTATCTTTTTCTGAACATATCAACAGAAGTCAGGTAACCATAGTGACCAGTCAACAAGAGAATAAATAACTGTATTTTCCACTTTGATTTAGCTTTTAAATGCCATCGTTTGAAGTTATTGTAAAGTGATGTTTGATTTTAAAAAGAGAAACTGTTCAGCTGGAACAATTGAAACATGCCATTAAAAGTAACCCTCTGACTATTGTGATATTGTCCAATTTTGCCTAGGCTAATTTGAATATTAATTTAATACAGTTAACTTAATTGTGTCATATTATGTTAATGCAAGCAGCTCACCTTGTGCAACATTTGTCCAGATTTCAAAGAAAGGACTTGGATTCACATCGTGCCCTTCAATCTCTGGTTGTAAAATCTTTGGTGTGTTCTATTAAATATTTTGTATGATTAATGGGGGAAACATCATAGCTTGAATCTGGTAGCTTCCATTCTCATATGGGAAGCTGTGAATGACTCCAATTGAGTCACTGATGTAACTCAGGACCGTGAGGAAGTGATGACATTCACCCATGTACTGTATTAATCCCAGTTGCTGGTTTTACCTGGCTGAAAACCCCATTGTGCAGTTCTCCACACTGGGGCTATTTGCATTATATTTGCCTCTTTTTCTTTAACTCTGATTTTATTTGGAGCTTTTATAACAGTTGTAAAGCTTGCTGATGTATTCAGTGGAAGTAAAATAGCTGTGTATCACAGTGCTCCAGCATCTTATAGCAACCTCAACGCAACTCTGCAGCCTCCCATTACACTGTTTAGCATGTTCCAGGGTGGTGAGCAATGTCAGGGGGAACAAGGGGCAGGTTGAGTATCATCGGCTGGATGAGGAAGGGCGAGCACTTTGAGGTGGTTGACATTGTTGAGGGATGCATTTTATCTGAGGTGAGGGTGGAGGTGAGCATTGTCAGGAGGTTAGTGGGAGGTGCTGGTGGCTGTGCAATGTTGTGGATGACAGGTACATTTTAAAACAGTAAAATTTAGTGAACTGAAGGTGGACCTTCTATGCAGCCCATGATGAGAAAAGGGGTTTGATTCTTAACTATAGTTATGCTTCAACATTGGCCTCCTGACTCTGTATGACGCTGGGTTCAAATTAGAGACAGAGGCAGTAGGATCCCCCGGGCTCTAGTGTATGAAGATAAGTGGGCAGTTTTAATATGGGTCAGTGATAGGCACCCTTACTCCATCACTATCATGAAGGCCTGGGTCTATGCTTAACTGAAGTTGGTTGAAGAAAAAATGTTGGTGAGGACTTGGGAATTTCTTTCTTCTTTTGAATGCTGTTGTCGATCTCTTTATTTTTATCAAGGAAAACAATTTTTAAAATAATTTTTAATTATAAACAATACTTCCATTAAAGACATGGCATTGGGGGAGTTCTGTAATCTGGCAGAGGAAGAAACTAAATTAATGCCCTCATTAACCCAGTGTAGATCAATAACATTATCATGAATTATAAAAGTTTACAAGAGAAGAAGCTGTCTGAATCTGTGATAATCCTTTTGCTGGAGTAGCACTTACTCTTCTTGTGTCTTTCTTATTGCATCATAGTAGTTGTCAATTTGGAAAATATCCTAAGCCAACATTAATTGCCAATAGATATGTGTTCCATTTACTCTTGTTTTATTTTTCGACTGAATTGATTTGATTCTCATTATAGGAGATAACCTTTGGTCCTGTTCAAAGTTATGGAAAGACTGATCCCCAGATACCTAGACCATGGTATAACCTTCATTTTAAGGATTATGTTTTAAATCTGCCACATAGAGTAAGAAACGATTCAAGAAATTAGAACTGCAAGTTCCATGTTTGTAGGTATGCAAAACTCCTTGAGTTTACCTTTAGTCACTTTTAATACTCTTAAACCAGATTTCACATGAGCTTAGCGAAAACATGGATGTACATGATGCAGTTCACATTTCCCTGTTCTGCTTCTCATTTCCAGCAACAGTGACATGGCAGTAGTATATTGGGAATCAGTGTCCTCTCTAAGTATGAAGCATTGGATCTGAAACATTAAGAAAAAAAATTAAGAGATGAAGTCAGTTGTTAGAAGTTTGTGCTCTTCTTTGCTTTGGGACTGATAATAGGATAAACACAGTACTAGATCATGTAACAATGCAGGAAATTGAACTTCAATAATATTGACATTCACTGTTGTTAATTGGCTATAAAATGGCTATTTTTTTTTTCGAAGGCTCAAGCATACCAAACTCCAACTGGAGAAGAATCCAGAATAGAGCAGACAGGCGAAATGTTGTAATTTAAATAAAGCTGGTATTAAATAGACTACTTGATGTTAGACCCATAATGTGTTTAAACTTATGTGTCATATCATGTTTGGAACCAAAACCAAGAATTGCAAATTTTGTTTCACATCATCCTTCGCAGGTAAATATGAAAATGAAGGGAAGCCTGTATTGCAGAGACTTTGAAACAGCCAGTTGCCTTCACACTGCAGTGTTTGTGGTGATTTACTTTTTAATTGGTTCATATCATCTTTCACAACAAAGAATTATTGAACTACTGCATAATAGAAAAAACACAGTAATTATGACATTGTGTGGTGTTGATGTACTTTGCCTGCTGTTTTTAGTTGCCCTAAATCTGTCCGGTTAGATTTTGATTTACTTTTTGTTCCTTAGATGACCTTCAAGTTCTGATTGAGAAAAGATTGGATAGAAACTATCAGTTTATGGGCTCTAGTGCTAGACTCGAGATGAGCAAAGGTTTCAGGCAGGTTAATAAAATGAGTAAGCTTAATGTGCTGTTCTTGACTTTAACATAGCTGAATTTAGACTTTATTGAAAGGCTATTTCCAGTATGCTTATTAACTCTCTCCCAGCACTTTACAAAAGAGGAACAAAAACAAGAAACCCAACCAGGTAAGTTTCAACTTCACCCTGGAGCTGAACCAAATGTCACATAAAAATGATTGTTTTATTGAATAGGCTATTGGCTGAATTTTCTCAATCTATGACAAGGAAAATAGGAGAAAATTGTCTGAATAGCTCCCAACACATTTCTGCCTCTGGGGAAACTTGCTCTGGGACTGTGTGAAGTGGGTTCTCACAAGTGGCCAACACTTTCCATTGGCAATGTCCCAATTCAGTGTATTTTACGACCTCTTGACTGTTTTGTTGGCAGCATGTTGGTGATGTGTACAGAGGTTGCCATGGCAATCCTGCAAAAGGCTGAGGGGCTGTTGAAGCTCCATATTGCAAAGACGGAACTGCAGTCATAAAAGGCCACAACTAAAGTTGGGACTAATCCACGGGAAGGGTTTTTCCTCTTTCCCTCGATTTGTGCACCTGCCTAGATCCTGTCTGTTTTATTATTAATGTGCATGTCAGCAATTTTGGGGCATCCTCATGGTTTTGTTGTTTATCTGCACCATCCATGCTCTCCTCTATCAAAGGAGCTGCCGTGGTCAGTTGAATGGATTGTGCACTGAGCTGGTCATTTAGGAGGTTCCTCCTGGATATTTGTGACAGGTCTTTCTGCTGCTCACTCTTAGCTTAGCATCCCTGTTCGGTTCCGATATCATGGTCTGAAGCCCCTGAGAAAGATCTGCCCAATAGCTTGATATTAAAATAAAATGCTAATCTTTGGGGTACATCCATTCCAGATTTCTTGAAGCTGCCTGAAAGGATTAATAGCTGTGGAATATGGTTTTTCAAAATCGAAATTAGTTTTCTTCAAATTAAAAGTGCTGCTTTAAAACAAAAAGGCCTTTTTGGAGTTTAGACCCCAATGTGTCTAAGGGAAAGGATACCTGTTATTTTCATTGACGTGTTTTGATTTTTGGGTGTAATTGTAGATGTTCCGGCTTTTGACACTTATTCCAAGAGCACATTTAAATAAAAATTGTTTGTGGGATGTGGATGATAGTGAGTAGGTCCTTCCTGGTTATCCGGAGACCACACTGATAATGCAGGCGGGTGGATATCAAGTCTAGTAGCGATGCACCAACTGACCCAACTTCTCTGTCCTTTATGGTATTTACCAATTGACGTTTCACTGTAACTGCATCCATTGAGGACAATAATTCCATCACATTACTGACTTGAGTTTAAGTGCGCGGGAGGGGAAATGTTGTTTTGCAGAATATTTAGTTGTATTTGAAGCCGTATATTAATTCAGTACGTCTTTTGGTCAATGGTAATTCCCAAGACAGTGATGATGGAACCTGGGTTATAATGGTGCATATTTATTGTGTGCCAACTTTCATATTGTAGTCACTTAAGATTGTCAAAGCTCTAGGTTTTAAGGTGCAAAGTGCTATGGTTAGTAGGAGGCCAGAAGATTCTGAAATTTTCAAAAATCTGCAAAGAATTGCATAAAAGAAAACCGGACAAATTGAAATATGGGAGTAAGTAATAAGAAACATAAATTCAGACAGGGGAGAGGTTCTACAAGTATTAAAAAGGGGGAAGAGTCCCTAAAACTAGGATTGGTCGCTTGGAGGATGAGGCAGGGGAATTAATGAGGGTGGAGAGAAAATGCTTTGAACAAACATTTTGTATTTGTCTTCATGGTAGATGACAGGCAATAAAGCATCCTTATAATAGAAGAAAATATTGGGGGAAGAGCCAGGCAAGAACTTAAAATCATTGTTATCATGAAAGGAGGAAAAGAATTGCTGGGAAAGCTAATGGGACCAAAGGTTGACACAACCCCTGAATGTGGTGGCCTTCTTCCTAGGGTGAGATTGTTGACTTGCTTGCTGAGCTGGCTTGTTTTTGTTCAGATGTTTCGTCTCCGTGCTAGGTGACATCATCAGTGAGGCCTCCGATGAAGCGATGTTATTCTACTCTGCTTGGAATTTATACTGTCTGGT